TGACAAGGGCTTACCAGCTCCCTTGCCAAGTCTTCACTTGTAAAAGAGACCTGGGGATGACTGCCCTGGGTCAGACAGTGACACAGTCTGGGAAAGTGATAGAGTTGGAGATAAGGAAAGGAGGATCTTGGATTGGCTTTCACAGAAAACAGGGCAACAATGGGTAGATCCTCTATGTAAATACAAGAGAGGCAGCAGCTGAAAGAACCATTGGTTAGAATAAACATTGATTTTTCAAAATAAATCTTTTCAATGATTAAAACCACTCCCCTTTATTGTAGAAATACTAGAAAATATGGAAGATAGAGTAAAAAGCATTAAAAAATTCTGGGACCAGGAAATGAATGGTTATGTCACTGGACTCCCATGTACTTGAACACAGCTTGAGTCTCAGACCCAATGACTTAAAACTCATGCTAGGTGCATGCGCATGCGAGCCCTAGATCCTGAGAGGAGAATGGAAGAGAAGGGATTGCAGAGTGTTCATCCTCCAGGGGGTGATTTCTCCCTTTCTGTTTCTCTGCCTCTCTAGTGCATGCATCCTATAGCAAACATCTCTTAAAAGAAAAAAAAAATGGAAAAATCCTATCCCTCTTCCATGCCACAAGTCACTGTTAAACATTTTGGTGTATTTCTTTTCAGATTTATGCCTCTCTCTATATATATTTAATTATTGTGTTGTGTGTATATATAATTATTTGTCTATATAAAAATGAAATTGTACAGTTCATAAGGTCTATACAAGCAAATTACTAGCCCTCCTGGGCCCTGATTTACTGATCTGTGAAGTGGATCTAATCATACATGCCTGGTAGGATAGTCAGAAGAATGAGATGAAATCAGAGACAAAGGGGATGGCCTAGCAGCCGAGGCCCAGGAGATACTCTGGAATGGCAGCTACTGGCATCACTGACGTTACTGACAGAGCATTTCTCTCTCCCTGGTTCTGGGAATGTGAGCTGCTAGCTTCACATCAGCTCACACTCTAGCATCCCAAATTTCCAAGTAACAGAAAGCTATAGTCATATGACCTGGCAGAGGGACCATGTACAGCCACTCTCCTAGCTACTGACCCCCAAACACAGGAGCCCACTGGGGTTCTGACCTAAAGTGCCACATTGAGACCACAGGCGAGTCCACCCAAGGAACGCTGAGGTTGCCCTTAAGGGCTAAGTCTGAGATGTGGTGTGTAGGGGTATGTGTCTGTCCACGTGGGAACCCCAAGGCATGCGTTTATGGGGAGGGGACTTATATCTGTGAAGGGCACGTGCCCAGCGTGTGTCTGTGGAAGGAGAGGGGATTGGCCAAAGGGTCTCTGTGGTAAGGGAGCTGGGTGTCACTGTGAGTCTGCTTCGAGGAACATGTGTCCTCTTTCTACCTTCCTACCTTTTCTCTCTGTCCCTCTTGTTCTCCCTTCCACCTTCCTCAAGTATGTTTTGGTTTTTCTTTCTCTCTAGCATCCCTCACCTCCTTTCCCCTCTCTGAGCATCAGTGTCTGCCTCTGCCCAGCCCCCTAACCTTTCATTCAAACAACAAACCCCAATGGATCACGAACATGGTTCTCTGCTTTGAGATACACAGCAGTGGGAACAAAACAAGATAGCTGGTTCAGAAGTGCAAAAAGAACATGACATTTAAGCAAAGGTCTAGTTTGAAGAATGGGGAACCTGAGCACATTAACAGAGAGAGAAGGGAGGCAGTGGAAAGAGATGTAATGACACCAGGGAGAACTGAAGTCTAGATGGGTTCCAGAGAATCCTCAGCAGACAGAACTCAGCAGTCAGGTCCAAGAGCCTGCACCAGGCCATGGCAGTGAGGATAGGAGTGTACCAGTCTTTACTTTGAAGCCTGGGAGCAGAGGAAGAGCTTCAAGTGAACAGGGGTGGTAGGAAAGGAGAGGACAGACAACAGCAAGCTGTAAGCTTTGGGATGGTAGGAATTCAGTCATAGGAACAAAGACCCCATGGCTTCTCCTCACCAGAACGGGGTGAAGGCCATGCCAGAGCCTGTGCATGGTGAGGGGGAGTGAGAATGCAGGGTGGCTGCAGGGGAGGAAGCAAGCTTAAGGTAACAGAACCACTTTCTAGCAGATGCTCTCTGCAATGGCTTTCTGACTTCTCCAGCAGGATGTGACAGAGGAGGAGCAGAAAGAGGATACTAGGGATGCCCAGGGACCATGGCAAGTCTAGAGAAGCAAGGGCCTGTAAGGAATTGGTGGAAAAGCCCCTCTTTCCTGGATCTAAGCAGCTTGAGTGAAGACAATCTATTTGTGTGTCTGTCTGCTATATCTCTTTATTTAAAGCCCTTGTGATCAAAAATGATTCTCATCTGTCTTCCCTGCACTTAGTATGGTGCCTGAGACCCAGCAAGCAAGACTCAGTAAAACTGCATGAGTTCACAAAGGTCCAGAGCGAGGAAGAAAGCAAAAAAGCCAGAAGGGAGGTAGAATGGAGAGGAAGCCATAGATGGGAGGTGAGCAGGAAAATGTGGCAAAGACACAAGAGCATTTAGGAGAAAAGGAGAAAAGAGGTGGCTGAGAAGGAAGTCAGAACCACAGGGGAGAATTTGAAGCTGGAGATGTGGGAAATCAACAAGTTTCAGGTGGTTAAATGACACAAGATATGTCACTCTGCTCGGTGGCTTCTCACCCTGAAAAACAAAGTAAGGAGTAAGTTCTAGGATTTTTAGCTCTCTACAAATAAGGAAAGAGATGGAGAGAGGCAGTCACTTGCTCTGAGGTGTGCATCTGGGCAGTAATGGAGCTGAGAAAGGGACTCAGACATCCTTCTACTCACCGCAGCCCCAGACGTGCTGTGCTGCTATGTGGCTCTCTATAGATGCAAAAGGCAGCAAATGGGGGCCGGCAGGTGGTGTGGTGGTTAAGGCACTGGATTCCCACATGGCTAACAGTAATTCAAGTCCCTGACCTGGTGACTTGAAGGTCATGCCAGGCGTCTGTGTTTATATGCCCAAAATCTCAAGGGGAGAATGGAGGAGAAAGGACTGCAGTATGGCCATCCCCCCTGGGGAGTGAGTGATATCTTTCTTTCCTTCTCTCTGTCTCTTTCTGGGGAGCACATGTGCCCTGTGGCAAGCAAACACACACACACACACACACACACACACACACACAGAGGCGGCAAATGTGAGCTCAGGCGGCAAATGTAAAAACAGCAGGGAACAAGGGAATGAGGGAAGGAAAGGAGACATGGACATCTAAACAAATGGGCAACAGAGAACTTGGAACAAGGAGATGACAATGACAGAGTGGTGAAGAAAATGCCGAGGTGCTGTGCTAAAAGCCAAATGACAGAATGGAACATGCACCAAGCCATGGCAGTGGGAACAGGACTCTAAATCTTCACTTTGGAGACTGGGAGCAGAGGAACAGCTTCAAGTGGAGAGAGCTCAGTACTCCTGAGAGTCCCCAGTGGGAGAGGAGAGACTGGGAGAGGTCCTCGGTTTTGAAGATACTCCCTGAGAAAAAGTGGAAACCAAAGTATTTAAGGTACAAGGCAAATTTGTTATGAGGAGTATATATCCTCATCCTTTTCTAACTGTAAACACAGTAATACCTCTCTACCTGCTCCAGAATGGATGACAAATAAAATCTAGAGCAGCAGAACCTGGAGGCCATCATTAACTGAAAATAATTTCCAAGGTATAAGGAGACAGAATGGCCAAAATGTGAGGCCCAGCCACCTGATGAATCGAAAAGAAATGTAAAATAAGCCAGGATTATATACACAGCATATGGTGGATAAGCCACCGCCCCTTTATATCAGAAGAGGTGGGAGCAGGGCAAAGATAAGAGACCTACCTTGACAAGGTGGAAGAAAGCAAGATCTGGGCCAACACACTTGGCCTGATACACAAGAGAGGGCCATGGGTTTTACCTGACGGCCCTGAGCTGCATCTTTATTCTACCTGTGGCTTCTCGGGAGGACAATGAACCGTCCACGTCCCAATTAGGAGTGACTGCAGAATGCTGGGAAGCTGCAGGGACCATTTGGCTACCGGTGTGAGGCTTTTCAATGAGATGACCACAAAGGTGACTGGAGATACTCACAAGAATCAGGACTGATCTGGACCCAATCACTACGAACTAATGTCATGGCGTCATCTATTTTTAAGTGACAGGGCTGTGACCGCTCAAGTGGATACCTTTCTCCTAATGCTCTCCATCTCTGGCAGGGAGTGAGTGCTGTTCCCTACATTTGCACTGTGCTTGCCTGTCCACTTGTCCCACCTCAGCTGTTGGAGACAATGTCTTCAATCACAGTACACTACAGAAAGAAACTGTCTGTAAGGCAAATGGATCCCAATCAGCTGCAGAGTCATTTTTGGTAGTTCATTGAAGACAGATAGTGAGGACAGTGATGCTTCTGCAGAAAGATTTATTGAGCACCTACCACAAGCCAGCTTTTCTACAGGGTGGACTTTCATCTTTATATAACAAGGTGCTGGACAACTCTGTATCGTAGATGAAGAAGCAAAGTTTAAGCTCAGTGACTTGACCAAGGAGGCTGACTCCAAAGCTTCCTGTCATCCCTCATCCACAATATAGTTCCCTAAACAGCAAAATTCTCACTAAAAATCTTCAGAGCGTTTTGAAGACTGGCTTGTGCTCCCAAACCACACTGCAGAGCAAGTCACAGAACATGCCAGGGCATGGCTGAAACTTGAAGACCTTGGGGACCTTGGCTGTTCCTGTCACGAGTTTCCAGTTTGTCTTAGGCAAATAAAAAATTCACAACCTCTTGGTGCTTTGGTTTCCCCAAACTGAGGAATGAGAAAAGCATTACCTACTCTACTGAACTCTTCAGAATGCCATGACATATATGCAATCAGGTGATCTCAAATCCGTGCCATTTTGAAGTTGGTGTTTAATTTAGAGGCACCAACTGGATCACATGTTACAGACCTCGCATTCGTGCTCAGGGTCTGGCAAGGTGAGGCCCAGGGCGGGGTGAAGCTGAGGCAGGGAGCGGCAGCCTTACCAGCAGTAGTCCAGCAGGTGTGGCGGCAGCACGGGGATGTAGACGTGCTGCCAGTACATGGGGTAGAGCATGGCCGCGGCCCCGTGGATGCAGGCAGTCAACTGCAACGGAAGCACACCAGAGTCAGAGCTCAACGACCGAAGGAGCGGACACCACCACTGGATTCCAGCAGTAAACGGAACACGTACACGTGGACATATTTAAAATGATAAAAGCTGACAGATCTGGGGAAATAATCCTAAATGAACTCAATCACCCTAATTCAAATTTACTAAGAGCTCTGTTTTTCAAATATCAATTTTCTCCCAATTATGCAGCTAATGCACACTTATAATAGAGAACTTAGAAAATGGAGAAGGGATAACAGAAAATAAGAGCAACCATCTGAAGATTATTGAACTATTTCGTAAGTGTTCATCTTTCCTGTTCTAATAAAATTAGGATTACTATAAAACTTTATTTTTTTTTTAATTGCCAGAAGGTGTATATGTTTGCCAGAGAGACAGAGGACATGGGGAGCAGGGGGAAAAGACATCTACCAATGGGGCATAGTCATACCAAAATCTCTTTTCCTCTATTTCTCCATCTTGTCAGGGTTCTAGACACATATGCATGCATGCCTGGCATGTTTTAAAAGATTCTGGGGCCAGGATTCAAACTGTGGTCAGTCATGTGGGATATATATCCCTTAATCACATCTACGGAGCCAGTTTAGGATGATAGTAAATAGCACTATTCCTTTGCTTTTTTATTTTTTAATTTTTTAAATTATTTATTATTGTTGTTATTTTAAAGTGCTATAGGGCATGTGTGCTCATCAGAGAGGGACAGAGAGAAAGAAGCAAAGTGAGAAAGCAGGCTACCAGGTCCAGGACTTGAACCCAAGATGGCCATGTAGGAGTCTAGTTCCTTGACCTCCACACCACCTGTTGGTCCCTCTTCTTTGCTCTTTTAAATTAACATTTTTTGAATGCCATTTGCCTGAATCTTTAAATATTCTTTAAAAATATAACTTCTAATGATACTCAATGAATTTCCCATATTATACTTATTCTTCTACCATTAAGCTTAATCCCATCAAGTCAGTAACTTTTATAAATGGCTCTTTCATGTAGAATTCTGAACATTAAATATTTTAATGCACTTAATAAATGTAATAAATATCATAAATGTTACTATAGGGACCAGCAGTTAGCATAATGGCTATGTCGCTGAACTCCCATGTAGTCGACTGCAGTTTGAGTCCCAGACCCAGTGACTTTTAGTTATGCCATGTGTGTGTGCATGTGTGCCCAAGATCCCGAGAGGAGAATGGAGGAGAAGGGATTGTGGCATGGTCATTCCCCCTGGGGGGTGATTTCTCACTTTCTGTCTCTCTCTGTTTTTCTGGTTAGTGCATGTGCCCTATAGAAAAAAAACCTCTCAAAAAAAAAAATTTACCATAATAAATAAATAAAGGATGGAGGTTCTTCACACTCCCCAGCCATGTATGAATGGCTTCCTGCCCCTCTCAGCACTATGCACTGTAGGCAAGTTAGCAGCTTTGAAGATATTTTTAAGTTTTTTTTTTTTAATTTCTTCTATAAGATAGACAGAAAGTGCACATTCCCTACAGAGTCTTGACACCGTGACTACCCCAGCCTCAGCCAGCACCAGATCACGAGCATGCATGGGCCCAGCATACTCAGGGAGGTCTCAGAATGTAGACCCGGAACCTTTCCAAGTGGGTCAGCTTTGTAGAATGATGTGTCGTCTGACTCCTCAGTCACTTTAAAACTGTATCGATCTTTTCTTTTAGTTCCTCTGACCATGACTTACGGTGAACATTTTCTCATATGATTTTTAAAAAGAATTATTTTATTATTATTATTGTTATTATTTTTCATATGAGGGGGAGAATGAAAAGCAAGCTGCTAGGTCCGGGACTTGAACTCTGGTCAGCTATATGGGAATTCCAGCACCTTAATCACCATGCCACCTGCTAGCCCCCTTCATATGATTCTTGATCGCATTTCTTAGGTAAATGTTCTGTTCATAGTCTTAGTGCACATTTTGAACATAAGTATTCATTTTTAAAAATTGATTTATAAGCAGGCACAGATGATACATGAAGTATACCAATGCTTTGTAATGTTTTTGAGAATAATTTTGAGAATAATTTATCCTTCATTTTCTTTGAATTTCTGGGTGAAGAGGGGGTTTAAATAATTGTGTAGCTTGGGACCAGAAGATGCCATAATGGTTACATCACTGGACTCCCACATAACCAACCATGGTTCAAGACCTGGACACAGAGGCTTGAAATTCATGCTGGGTGCATTTGCATGTGTGTCCAAAATTCTGAGAGGAGAATGGAGGAAAAGGGATTGTGGCATGGCCATCACCTCTAGGGGGTAATTTCTTGCTTTCTGTCTCTGTCTTTCAGGCGAGGACACACACCCTATAGCAAAAATCTCTCTTAAAAAATAATAAAAAATAATTGTGTAGATGAATCTTTTCCTTTATGATAGTTTTACTGCCTTTATTCTGAGAAAGTCTTCTAAACTTTTCCCTAGCATTTAACTCTTTAATACATCTGGAATTAATTTAGGTTTAAGAACTGAGATGAGAATTTATTTTTTCCAGTTAATCAATTGCTCTGGCACTGTTTACTGACTGGTCTTTCCTCTCCTATTCTTTAAATATGTCCTCCTATTTTGTATTCTTTTTTCTACTTTTAAAGAGCTACAGATTTCTGTAATCAGCATCTAATACAGTTAAAAGTTTAGAAAACGAAGATAACATAGAGGGATACGGCTGCTACAAAATCTAACGAAAAGAAGGGGAAAAAAAAAAATCCAACCTTTGGTGATATAGCTACGAAGTGACAAAAGCCAATAACACATGTTTCTCTCTGTCTTTTTTCTTTAATGTTTCTTTGGTTTCTGGGAAGCCTGTTCCCATGAGGACTTTGCTTCTTTTGGAAGCTGTTAACTGGCCTTTGCTGACAGAAGGACATTTACGTGGCAAGAGTGACGTGCCAGGGCCCAGTTAAAAGAATCCCAGAGGTTAGTGTAGCACGAATAGCTTTAAATTGGACCTTCTCCTCTGGTTCACAGTTGTGAGCACTGTGTGTCACACCAGGGCTGCTCCTCCGCACGCCCTTCCTCCTTCTAGACCCTGCTCTTAAATCAGATACATGCCTGAGCAGGAGACAATCCAGCAAGCACTACAGAGTCATTCCAGCAACCCACAAGGACTGGAGGTTTAACTCGCCCCATAGGATCTATTTCACTAGGTTCCATATGCAGGAGGCTGTCAGTATATGCATGATCAATCCCTTCAGGGTTCCTTATTGATGAGAAGTTCTGTCTGGTACTGTGAATGGGAAGCGAACCAGCTTTACTCCAATTCCACCCTGAAGTCAGGCTGGAGCGTTACACTGGCCCTGGGGCCCAGCTCTTTCTGCTCAGTCTTGAACTCACTGCCAGGGTGCTCCTCCTAGAGAGCAGGTCTAATCACACCACTTCCTACTCCGGAGTCTTCGGAGGAATGTCTGGAACAGGATGACTCCACCAGCTCCTGGTCTACCAGCACAGCTTCTCCAGCCACAGTCTCCACTACCTTCTTCAAGTTTATCCATGGAACAGGTCATGTGCGGACTTAGGGATAGTTATGTACTCCTTTTCCTTCCTCCGTCTTTCCACCTTTCCTCCAGATAGGATGTGTGGAACAGGGGTAGGCCCAGATATGTGCCCCTGGCAAACTCCTCCCTCAGGTCTCGGAGCACTGCCTTCCTCCTCAAAGCCTTGCCTGGCATAAGCCCCATCATCAGCTGGACTAGACCTGTCTGTGGTTTCCTGTAAAGTACAGAAAGACCCTGTCTCTCTTCATCACCATGTTCTTAGGGACACAGCATATATAAAGTGCTAGTTAATATGATGTGTCCTGAATAAATAAAACAATTCCTACCTAGGACACATTCACAAAATTAAGCTAGTGATTTGGCTTTTAATAGTACTGTACCAACACTTTTTATGAATCTTGGGGGAGGGGGTGGTGCTGCATGACTCAAATTCCAAAACTATTAATAATGGCAAGCTGAGATACACAGTGTGCCACTTTTGGAAAAGCAAGCCATTCGTTCATCTATCCATTTAGTCAGCAATATGCCTACTCTATAACACAAGAAATAAATAAACAGAAGCATTTCAGAATCTGTATGGTGCCATCTAAACATAAGGTAGCATTACCACATGACTTAATTTGTAATTCTTTTTGAAAAAGTCACGCAATAGAATGGTCCTAGTTATGACAGAACGTGATTACCTGACTCATTTTAGCTTAAATAGGTTTGGGCCAAATTTTTATTTTAGCCAATAAAGTAGCAGAGATCTTAACTTCAGCCAATGTTTTTTTTTCATGTCTCCTTAACCTCTTAAAAACAAAACAAAAAAAACTACCAAGCTAAACACAAAAATGATTTAAAAATTACTTAGCCCTTATTTAAAAAAATAAATACACCAGACTTTAAAGATGTTTCATCATTTCATTAGGGAGTTTCCTAAGCGCCAAATCTCTGCAATTGGGGTAAAATGCATTCATTCATTTGATGAAGAAAACAAACAAAATGGAATTGTTTGGCTCTTTTCAAAGTACTAATCACATAAACTATGTGCATCGTCACTTAAGAATAGTAGAGCTAAGCTGATTCCAAGAAAAGTCTTACTACATACCTATGCTTAACCAGAACTAGCATATAGGTCCTATAAAATATTATTAGCTACTTGTTTTTAAAATAACTCTAAACCCCATTTCTGTAAGTGTCCAAAAGGCCTATGCTTTTTCCTCACAGAATAGAAAATTTAAAAGTAATGAAAGTATACAATTTGGAGTGTAGTCAACAAAGGGGTATTGTGAATATTTAATTGAAGTGCAAGTTGAGGAAAATGATCCTATCAAAATCTCACTCAGTGGGAGGATAGAAAGATAGTATGTGTAAAATTTGCCCAAAGTCATTAGTCACAATGAATATTCATCAGAAGCCAATTATCAATCCCATTTAATGACACCCCAAAAGATTTTGCCCTGAAGCAGCTGAATAGTCTAAGACTCCAGACAA